TACGCTGATCCGGTGGCTGCTCGCCACCGAGAGTACTCGTCGTCGTCGTGTCAGTTGTCTCCACTCCGACCGTGGGGGTGAGTTTCGCTCCGGCGTTCTCGCCAGATTCTGTGCTGAGCAGGGCATCACCCAGTCCTGGACTCTTCCTGACTCTCCACAGCAGAATGGGGTTGCTGAGCGCCGGCTAGGCCTGGTCATGGAGATTGCCCGCACCTCCATGATCCACGCCCGTGCGCCCCATTTTCTGTGGCCCTACGTGGCTCGGTACGCCGCTCACCAGCTGAACCTCTGGCCTCGCGTCTCTCGGCCAGGGGCTTCACCGACCAGTCTTTGGACAGGGTCCCCTGGTGTTGCGTCGAGGTTTAGTGTCTGGGGCTGCTTGGCGCTTGTCCGCGACACCTCTGCGGACAAGCTCTCATCTCGCGGCGTCCCCTGTGTCTTCCTTGGTTTCCCTGAGGCCTCCTCTGACTTCACCTTTTACCACCCTCCCTCCCACCGGTTCTTTGACTCTCGTGACGTCCGTTTCGACGAGTCTGTCCCCTACTACGTCCGGTACCCCTGTCGAGGTCTCCCGGTTCCCCCCCCCCCCCCTCTTCCTGGCTCCACCTCCTCCTCCTCCCGCCCCTGCTCCTCCGGTACCCCCCCCTGGTCCTGCTCCGTCTGGTGTGTCCCACGCTACTCCCCCCCCCTCGGTACCCCCCCAGGTCTCACCTCCTTCCCCACAGTCGTCCTCACAGCCTCCGCAGCAGCCGTCAGCGCTTCCTTTACCGGCCACTGCGGACTCTGAGGGTGTTGGTGCTCGGGGTGAGGGCTCTGGCGGTGCTCGCTCTGGGGGTGCAGGCGTTGGAGCTGTTAGTGCACCTACAGGAGCCGCCCGTTCTGGGGGTGTTGGCGTTGGCGCTGAGCGTGCACCCGCCGCGGCTGCCCGTTCTGGTGGTGCTGGAGCTGGTGGTGTTTCTGGAGCTGGAGAGTCTGAGGCTGGTGCTGGTGCCACTGGAGGCACCCCGACTGGGGGTGCGGGTCCACCTCCTACAGGTACTAGTCGTGCTGCCGCAGGGGGTACACGCTCTGGGGGTTCTCAGCCGGGTGCTGTTGAGGGTGGAGCCGGTTCTTCTTCTTCGTCTCCTGACACCACTCCTCCTCCTCACCCCTACCTGACTCGACACCAGACCCGTCTTCGTCTTGAGCGTGAGGAGCAGCAGCGTTTGGAGCGTGAGAGGTTGGAGGTTCAGCAGCGGGTGGAGCGTGAGAGGCTGGAGTTGCAGCGGGAGCAGCAGCAGCAGCAGCAGCAGCAGCAGCAGCCGCCGCAGCAGCAGCAGCAGCAGCAGCCGCCGCAGCAGCCGGAGCAGCCTCCGGCCTTTGTTACTGGCCTTCGGGCCCTTGGTCTCCCCTCCTCCTCTCCTCCTGTGTTCGGTCCGACGTTTCCTCTTCCGGACTCAGCTCCGGCTGTGTTCCCTCGTTCTCAGTCTCCTCCGTCTCCCGCTCCGTCTCCCACTCCTCTCTCCCACACTTGGGCCTCTCGTCCTCCTCGTGCTCGTCCCTCGTCACCTGTCCGTGACCTTCGTACTGTGTTGTTTCGTCCTAGTCCTCCTCGTTCTCCTCCGTCTGTTCTTCCTCGTCCTCCTGAGTCGTCCCTCACTGCCTCCCTGTCTACTCCGGTCACTGACTACTACCGCACGTACCGCCCCACTCTCTCGTGTTCTCGCCTCTCTTGTTACAGACCCTCGTGCCTCTCCTTCCTCCGTCGCGGTCCTCACTGCCGCTGTCACAGACTTTACTGCTACGCGTCGCCTTGACTACGCCACTCGTGTTGTGGCGGCTCCTCCTGTCCGTCCTCTGTCCGCCGGGGGTGATTTTGCCCTTGGCTGTGCCATCCTAGAGGATAGACAGTTTGAGCTAGAGTTCCTGGCAGCCGCTTCACCTCATCTCTGTGCCATGCTGCTCGCTCCTGAGGGAGACCCCGACGCTCCTGACATACCTACTCCTCGCACTTACGCTGAGGCAGTGTCAGGGCCTTGGGCCTCTCAGTGGAGAGCTGCCATGGACGCAGAGATGGCCTCCTACAGGTCCACAGGCACTTACGTTGACGAGGTTCCCCCCCCAGGGGCGAACATTGTTGACGGCATGTGGATCTTCAAGGTGAAGCGGCCGCCGGGATCTCCTCCAGTCTTCAAGGCACGCTACGTGGCTAGAGGTTTCAGTCAGCGTGAGGGAGTTGACTTCTTTCAGACCTTTGCGCCCACCCCGAAGATGACCACTCTTCGGGTGTTACTGCACGTAGCAGCGCAGAGAGACTACGAGCTACACTCTCTCGACTTCTCCACTGCCTTCTTGCAGGGCAGCCTACACGAGGAGATCTGGCTGCGTCGTCCTCCGGGCTTCACTGGCACTTTCCCGCCTGGGACCCAGTGGAGCCTCAGACGACCGGTCTACGGTCTCCGCCAGGCACCCCGTGAGTGGCACGACACTCTCCGCTCTACTCTGTCCGACCTTGGGTTTGAGCCGTCTTCCGCCGACCCGTCGCTGTTTGTTCGTCGTGGGCGCACACCTTTCTTTGTTCTTGTCTACGTTGACGACCTGGTTTTTGCCACAGCCGACACAGTTGCACTGGCGGAGGTGAAGTCCGAACTGCAGAAGAGACACACCTGCACTGACCTTGGGGAACTGCGCCGCTACCTTGGCCTACAGATCTCCAGGGACAGAGCCGCTCGCACCATCACTCTGACTCAGTCACACATGGTGCAGCAGGTCCTTCAGCGGTTCGGGCTTCAGCACTCCTCTCCTCCTCCCACCCCTCTTGCTGTAGACCACAGACTCACTGGGCCTTTTCCTGACGAGCCGTTCGAGCCCAGTGGTCCCTACGCAGAGTTGGTGGGCTGCCTCATGTACCTGATGACATGCACTCGCCCGGACCTCGCCTTCCCTCTTAGCATCCTTTCTCGCTTTGTTGCGACAGGGAGACACCGTCCTGTTCACTGGGCGGCGGCTAAGAGGGTGGCGAAGTACCTCGGCGCGACATCAGACATGGGGCTTGTACTTGGAGGGACACAGCCAGTTGTACTCACCGGTCACTGCGACTCCTCCTACGCCGACGACGTTGAGTCACAGAGGTCTACACAGGGTTACTGTTTCAGCCTGGGCTCTGGAGCTGTTTCGTGGAGGTCTACTCGGTCCTCCTCTGTTGCGACTTCTACCGCAGAGGCCGAGATCTACGCTGGAGCCCTCGCTGCACAGGAGCTACGCTGGTTGACCTTCTTGCTCACTAACCTTGGTGAGCGGCCGAGCTCTGCACCGACCTTGTTTGCTGACAACAAGGCGATGATTCTCCTGTGTCGTGAGCCTCGACTGGAGAGCAGAGTGAAGCACATCGACGTCAGGTACTTCCTCCTTCGAGAGTTGCAGAGACGCGGGCAGGCTCGTCTGGAGTTTGTGGCCTCCGAGGCCAACACTGCAGACATCTTCACCAAGGCCCTCCAGCCTTGTGACCACCGCCGGTTTTGTCTGCAGTTAGGCCTCGTTGAGACTGGGTCTAGTTGACTGCTGTAGGGTGCTCTTTGTCTGTTGCTTGCTTGTACCTTATATATATTTGTTTGCACACTTTTGGACTGGCCTTGTGGCCCTTTGCTTGTGCTCAGATTAGGTGGTGACGTTGTGATCCACCCTGAGCTTTGTTTTCTTTCTCTTGCTTTTGACTGGTCTTGTGACCGTAGGTTGCTTGTTGTTGATTGGCCTTCCCCACTTAGGCTATGGGGGTGTGTCAAATATTATAGCCTGTAGTGGGTTGGGCTATATGGGGTACAACTAGTTAGGGTTAGGTTATGTACCCCAATTCTGTCAATGCTACACATTCCGCTGTAGTTCTCATTCAGACAAAAAGTTAGGGTTTGTTATATGTACCCAAACCAACAGCAATGCATCAGCCATTCCTCATTCTGACAATTACCGGTACCTTACAAAACCCAATTCCTACGAAAGAAAAACATCTACATTCAAAACCATCATTGCTACAAACAAGACAACTAGGATGTCACACCTCTCCGTCCTCGAGTTCATCATCATCATCATCCATAATCGCGCGTCTCTTTGCCGGCCGGTGGTGCCACGTCACCGCATCCTCCTCACTCTCGTCACTGCTGTCCACCTCCTCCCCCTCCTCCCTCTCTGCAGCAGCACCACTCAAACCTACTCTCTGGTTGCCAGCAGCAGCACCAGCAGCTGCAGCAGTGGCAGAAGCAGCAGCACCAGTGGCAGAAGCTGCAATTCTTTGATCACCAGAAGGACCTGCAGCGGCAGCAGTAGGAGCAGCAGCAGCAGCAGCAGCATGCCTCCATGCCGGAGATGACCCTGCTGCACTCCTCTCCACTCCTCCCACTGCCTCTCCACACTCCCTCCTCTCCACGCCTGCCCCAGTTCCTGCATTATTGTGTCTTTCCACGCCTCCTCTTAGTCCGCTCTCTGGCCTTGCTTCTCCCCGATCCGCATGCCCTCCTCCCCGTCGCTCCACTCCCAGCCCTGCTCGCTCACACTCCCGTCCTTCGTGTCTCCTTTCTCCATGCTCCCTGCTCGTCCGTTCGTGCCTCTCTAACCCCACTGCCGCTCCCACATACTCCCCAGGTTCTTTCTTCACCCTCACATTTGTGCCACTGCCACCCGCACCATTCCTGTCAGGCATGCCACTGCCACCTGCCATCCCACTTTCCCCTCCCACCTTCCTCTTCTTGCTCTCATCCAAGCCTGCTGCTCCGGCTGCTCCCAGCCCGCTTCCTCTCCCCATTCTCGCTCCCCCTTGCTCCCCGACCCCTCCCCCTCGTCCCTCCCCTGCCCGCCCTGCCCCCACTCCCCCACTCACCTCTCTAGCTCCGACCCTGCTTGGCCCAGCAGCAGGACCATACGCACCTTCACGGTCACCCATCCTTCGACTCACGACAGCACCCGCCCCCTCACTCTCTCTCCTCCCTTCGTTCACCCTCTGCTCACTCGCTCTCCCTCTCTCCCTCTCGCTAACTCGCTTCCCCTCGCTCGTCATTCCTTTGCCCTTGGCTGCAGCAGCAGGGGAAGACTTGACAGCAAATGCTTTTTGAGGCACCCCAGCCCCAGAACTAGTCCCTTTGCCCTTCGCTTCAGCAGCAGGTGAGGACTTCCGAGCAAAAGCTTTCTGCTTTCCCATCGGTGGCTTGATTCTGAGACCACCTCCTGCTCCTCCTGCTTCACCTCCTCCTCTTCCTGCTGCCGCAGCAGCCGCTCCTGCTCCTGCTCTTGCTCCTCCTGCTGCTCTCTCTGCTGTTGTTTCTCCTGTCCCTCTTGATGCTCCTGCTGCTCCTGCCATTTCTTCTGTTCTTCTATCTGCTGCAGCCCCTGCTGTGCCTCTCGCTGCAGCACCACTTCTAGGCACGGCAGGAACACAGTTGCTGTCCGCATCTGAAGCAGTGCCAGTCACAGTGCGCCCACCAGCATTCAGCGTAGCAGCGCCAGCAGCACCAGCAGCAGAAGCAGCAGCAGCAGCAGCACCAGGGTAGTTACTGTAATGTCTGGAGATCCCAAGGGTGACCTCGTTAGGAGCTGGTTCGACGTAATTGGGGTCGTTGCATGTGCCTCGAATAGGCTCCATGTAGCAGAACCTGGGGTTGATAAAACAAGAGTCAACAGGAGTCAACAAGAGTCAACAGTAGTCAATATGAGGCAACAAGAGTCAACAAGAGACGATTTATAGGGGTCACTGACTGAGGGAAGTGCCTCGAGTGGGCTCCACGCAGAAGAACCTAAGAGAGGGGTCAACAAGAGTCAACACGAGACAACAGGAGTCAACAAGTGGGCGTGTAAGGGTTAATTATGGTCAGCGCATGACTTGCACGGGCTCCATGTAGCAGACCCGGGGGGAAAGAAGGGAAGACTCATTAGGAGTAAACATGAAGGATGCGTTCAATATCAGGTTGAGAGAGCGAGCACACACACATTGCACTCTTCCTCCCATCCCATCATCACCATCCCTCATACCCGGTCTCTGGCAGTATCTTCGAGGTCACATGGGGTGGAAGAATACCCCAGACGCACTGCACTGCACGCAGCCACACCCGCTCTTTAAACCTCACAATACCAACCCACATCACCCCTCAGCACCCAACATTGAAACGCACCACCCCGCAGCACCCTTCAGCACCACTCATACCAGTTCTCTGGCAGCGACTCCTTGGTGACATGGGGCGGCAGAACGTGCCACTGCTGGCAGTTATCGCACTGCACCCATTGCATCTCACTCCATTTTCCATCCCATCCTCACTCCTCATCACCCCTCAGCACCCCTCAGCACCCCTCAGCACCCTTCAGAACCGTTCATACCAGTTCTCTGGGAGTGACTCCTTGGTGACATGGGGCGGCAGAATGTGCCACTGCTCGCACTTGTCGCACTGCACCCAGTCCCGGTGATCCTGTAGCACTGCTCCCTCTGGTATGTTCGTCTGAACACAACAAAGGGGAACAGGAGAAGGAGACGAGAAAAGAAGGACAAGAAAGAAAGCGTCAAGCAGCAGTCCCACTGCCACTGCTCGCACTTGTCGCACTGCACACTGCCTGTGGTCCTGTAACACTGCTCCTTCTGGTATCCTCTTCTGAACACAACATAGGGAGGCATAACATGCGAAAAGAGGGCGGAGAGCGGAGTAGAAACACGAGTCAAGCTGACGTGCCACTTGTTGCACTGCAGCCACTGCCTGTGGTCGTGCAGCACTGGCCCCTCTGGTATGTTGGACTGAAAAGAAGGCAGGCACTGGATGGCTTTGCTCTGGATGCCACGCGCGCACATGCACACACACGCGCGCGCATGCGCTTTTTGAGGCGCCTCAAAACTTTTGAGGCGACTTTTGAGGCGCCTCAAAAGTCGCACATGCACACACACACACACGTGGGCATGCGCTCACACCCATGCACACGCACACCCACGCCCGCACTCGTGCGCACGCGCGCGCGCGCGCCCACACACAACAACAGCAACTCCCAGTGGGGAGGTCCGTGTCAAAGTTGTCCTCCCAGTACTGGTTGAAATCACTTTTCAGAATTCTCAAAGGTGAACAACAGGAGGTCCTTGAGCCGCTGATACTCCCACTTCACTCCACCACTCACTACATGGCTTTGTTTTGTTTTTTATGAAGGAAACTAATAAATAAACGAACAACTCACAGTGGGGAGGTCCCTGTCAAAGCTGTCCTCCCAGTACTGGTTGAAAGTGATGGACAGGAAGTCCTTGAGCCGCTGATACTCCTTCACCCAGACTTATCAGTTCACCAAGAACTATTCGACTCACAGTGGGAAGGTCCTTGTCGAAATTGTCCTCCCAGTACTGGTTGAAGGTGACAGACAGGAAGTCCTTGAGCCGCTGATACTCCCACTTCACTCCAGCAGATGCCATGCGCCAGTCCTTGTACCTCACTCACCGTGTGGGGCAACAACAACCAACTCACAGTGGGAAGGTCCCTGTCGAAGTTGTCCTCCCAGTACTGGTTGAAGGTGACAGACAGAAAGTCCTTGAGCCGCTGATACTCCTCTCCCTCCGCAAACCGCTGCTTGCAGTTCAGCACTCCCAGCTCCCCTGCTGCGTCCTGCAGGGAAGAAGGTGAAGAGGAGTGTGAAGCGGTTGAGAGGGGGTAAAAAAGGGGAGCTCTTATTGGCGAGTGAAGGCCGCTGATTGCAGTTCAGCACTCCCAGCTCCCCTGCTGCATCCTGCAGGGAAGAAGATCAAGAGGAGTGTGAAGCGGTTGAGAGGGGTAGAAGGGGGAGCTCGTAGTGGCGATTGCAGTTCAGCACGCCCAGCTTAACTGGTGCATCCTGCAGAGCAGAACATGACGAGGTGTGTGACGCGGTTGAAGGGGGTGAAATAAGGGCCTCCTAGTAGGGAGACGGGTCACATGCATGCACAGCAGGCAGGTTGCACATGGTACTCACAAAGAGGGCACTGGTGTACCAGCACTAGTAGGGTACTCACAAAGAGGGCAGTAGTGTCCACCACGCCCACCACGCCCAGCCCAGCATCCCCCGAATACTCCATCCTTCCGACCCTCTTATACGCCTCTATGAGCCGCCCGTGCCAGTACAGGAAGAACCCGCACCGCCCACACGCCCTCTCGCTTTCGTCCATGCCCATGCGCACTTGCACCGGCTGCCCCATCACGGTCCCAGTGGTGGAGAACGGTTGGGAGAGGTTCTCCGCGATGTCGACACTGCCTTGCACGGCGCGGCCTTGCACTGTGATGGTGGCGGGATTGTGGAGAAACATGACCCGCAGGTAGGCACGTAGTGAGTAGTCTATTGGAACCTGGTGGGACAGGTAGAGAATGGGCAGGGAAAGGGAAGGGCAGAGGTTGGGTCTTGGAGAAACATGACCCGCTGGTAGGCTTGAAGGGAGTAGTCTATTGGTACCTGTGAGGTAGAGAAAGGATTCGGGGAAGGGAGATAAGAGGCGTGGCGACTGGCGACAGGGTCTGGGGAAATGTCTGCCCTGCATGGTGCGGCCTTGCACTGTGATGGTGGCGGGGTTGTGGAGAAACATGACCCCCAGGTAGGCACATAGTGAGTAGTCTATTGGTACCTGTGGGGAGAGGGGGGGGGGGGGGGGGGGGAAGAGGCAGTGAGAAGGGAAGAGAGAAGGGGGGAGCGGGGTGTAGAGAGGCACTGGAGGTATGTCCACTCCGCATTGCCTTGCACTGTGATGGTGGCGGGGTTGTGGAGAAACATAACCCGCAGATAGGCACGTAGTGAGTAGTTTATTGGTGCCTGGTGGGGTGGGGGTTAGAGAAAGGGCAGGCAGAGGGATGAATGAGGAGGAGATGGTGGATGGGCGAGACGAGGGGAAGAAAGGCAGTGGTTGGGTTGTGGAGAAACATGATCTGCGGGTAGGCGAGGGGAGAGAGCAGGGGTTTTAACGGCAGAGAGAACCAACAGAAAGCCGACTGTTGGTCCAACAGAGTACCTGCAGGGGAGATGAGCTTGCAGCGAGCAGTCTGCAAGTACCTCGGAAGAAGAAGAAGAGGGGGGACTAGCTAGGGGGAGTGGGAGGGGGGCTAGTAGCCACTCACGTCTTGGCAGAGCTGGTTGGGGCGGGAGCGGGGCCATCTGGTGCGGATGAGGATGTGGTGAGTGGTGGTGTCACAGCAAGGGAAAGATCTTGCTTCTGAGTTTCTCACACACACACGGGGGCTAATTAATAGTAGTACGGCCGGGAGGCTAGCCGATCACGTCTTGGCACAGCTGGTTGGGGCGGGAGCGGGGCCCAGACGGGGGAAAGACTGACCGTCTCACATGGGTGGGTGGGCTCGCTAATAGCTACTCACGTCTTGGCAGAGCTGGTTGGGGCGGGAGCGCGGGCGTCTGGTGCGGATGAGGATGTCGTGGGCGTCGTCGTCCCACTCGAGCTCGTACGCTGCATCTGGGCGCGACAAGCGCTTGAGGTTGAACACGTAGATGCGCGTGCCCGTGGGGGGAGTGTCGCTGCTGCCACTTGCCTGCTCCAGCCTGTGACGGGAGAGAGGATTGTTTTTTGGAGCAGCGAGGAGGAGAAAATGGGTTCAGAGGAGAGGTTAAATGGGGAGGAGAGGAACATTGGGATGGGCGTCGTTGTCCCACTCGAGCCCGTACGCTGCATCTGGACGCGACAGGCGCTTGAGGTTGAACACGAAGATGCGCCTGCCCGTGGGGAGGAAGCTGCCTGCTTGCTCCAGCCTGCGGGGGGAACGGGTCAAAGTGGTAAAAGCCGTGACTGAAATGCTGTTGACACATAGGCTGCTTCAGGTTGAACACGTAGCGCGGCGTGCCCGTGGGGAGGGGGAGTCACTGCTGCTGCTGCTTGCCTTCCAACCTGTGAGGTAAGTGAGTGGAAGAAGCACGGGTGTAGAACAGAGTGAGAAGAGAGAAGAACGGGTTCAACGCAGAGAGAGATCTGAACATGCAAAAGCGTATGCCGGAGGGCGAAGCGCAGCGCAAGACCTGCCAGGTGGGCATCCACGGAGTGAACGGAACGATCGGACTCCCTTCCCTTCCCTTGCACACAGGGCTCCTATGAGCGGAGCGGGGCCACGTCCACTTACTTGCGAATTCTCAAAAGTCACTTACTTGCGGAACTCCTGGTTTATCTTTCGCTCGTCCAGAGGCGAGAAGTCGAAGATTGCTCGCTTCCTCCTCTCTGCCTCCTCCTCTGAATGCACCCCCACATCCAGCTGCCACTCAACAGATCCACCTCCCCCTGCTGCAGATCCACCTCCCCCTGCTGCAGATCCAACTCCCCCAGATACCACCCGCCGGTACGTGACTATGGGGATTTCCAGCTCCTGCCGGCCCTGGTTGAGCGAGCGGGAGAGCAGCGCAATGCTGCGGCTGTCCGTTGACTGGGTCAGCACCAGCGCATCGTTGCCTATGCGCATGGTGCCCGTCTGGTGGTGGTGAGAGCAGGAGGGAAGAAGGGAGGTGGATGGGGGAGTAAAGAGGGAAACAGTTTCAAGCTTGTGTGAGAAAGGGCTTCGCTGTGAGAGTCACTATGGGGATATCAAGCTCTCGCCTGCCATGGTTAAGTGATTGAGAGAGGAGCGTGACTCCGGGGGTGGGGGGGTTGAGTTTTGAGTCGACTCAAAACTCGACTCATTACACATGGGGATATCAAGCTCTCGCCTGCCATGGTTAAGCGAGTGAGAAAGGAGCGTGATGCCGGGGGTGGGGGGTGCGGGGGGTTAAGGGGAGGAAGAGGGTGAGAGAGAGGGGTTGAGGGGTTGCAACATACCTTGAAACCAACGCCGAATCTGCCGATGTGGTGGGGGTCCTCCTCTGCAGGGATGTCATGGCCCAGCGACAGCATCTGCACCAACTCGCCGTGGTCCATGCCCTTGCCATCATCACACACGCGCAGCACTGGCACTGGCTCACTTGACACAGCGGAGGAGGAGGAGGAGGAGGGGCGAGTGAAGGAGGAGGAGGAGGGTAGTGGTGCGGCTGAGGGTGATGCTGCGGGGACTGCTGTTGCTGCTGCGGCTGCGGCGGCTGCTCTTGGGGGGAGTTTGGCCGTGCTGATGAAAATATCCAGCCTGCATGGTGGGGCGTGGGTGGAGGGATTGCAAGGGGAGACACTCAGCACCCAGGGTCACATGGATGGAACCACAAGGTTCTGTGTGGCACAGAACTTGGGCCACAAGAAAACCAAGGTCCGTCTGCTTCTGTTGCTGCGGCGGCTGCTCTTGGGGGGAGCTTGGCCGTGCTGATGAAAATCTCCAGCCTGCATGGTGGGAGGGACGGGACGGGTACGAACAAAATAAAATGGCACACAGCACACCACTCAGGCTATACAGAAAGAAGGCCCAACTACTGCTGCTGCTGCTGCTGGCTGCCAATGCTGCTCTTGGGGGGAGTTAATCTGCTCCCGAACAGGCACTGTGCATATGTATGTATGTGTGAGTGTGTTTTGTGTGTGTGTGGGTGTGCACATGGATACCTCCTTGCCTTGGCATCCATAAAGCTCGTCAGCCTCCCAAACACCCATCCACTGCTGGTGGGCGTACCTCTGTGCAGTGATGGGCGTGTGAAGGTGTGAGTGAGAGTGTACACCCCATCCTCTCTGCTGGTGTGCATGTCAACCCTATCCGTACCTCCGTGCTTTGGCGTCCATGGAGTTATCTATCAGCTCCGCCAGGCCCCCAAACACCCACTGCTGGTGCGTGTGCGCGAGGGACGCCAGGTACTGCGGATGCATCCCCGGCCCAGGCGCACGCGCAGGGGGAGGGAGAGGGGGAGGGGCGGCGGAAGGCGGAGGGGGAGAGGGGCGCGCAGGTGGAGGGGGCATTGGGGAGGCAGTTGGAAGAGGAGGAAGAGGAGCAGGAGCAGGAGCTGAAGGAGGATGGGGAGGAGGAGGTGGAAGCGGAGGAGGAGTTGGGAGCGTGGGAGGAGGAGGAAGTGCACCTTTGAAAGAGAATTCTGACGTGGGGGTTGCAGATGCTGACGTGGACAATGGAGGTGCTGACGCGGATACTGGGGACGCTGACATGGTCGATGGAGGTGCTGAGGTGGATACTGGAGCGACAGGGGCGGAGGCGGCAGCAGGGGCGGAGGCAGCAGCGCGAGAGGAGAAAGATCCTGCAGCAGTGAGGCCCGGAAGGCTCTGCGCTCGGGGGGGAGCACGGCCGTGTTGCAGAGGAGGGGGAGGGTGAGAGGACGAGTCCCCTGGTGAACCAGGGGCACGAGGCGAGCCATGCCCTGCTGAAATGTGACCGTGCTGCTGCTGCCGCCGCTGTTGCTGGAGTTGTTGCTGCTGCTGGTGGAGTGCTGGCAGTGGTGGCGGTGGCGGTAGTGCCTCCTGTTGTTGGGGTTGCTGCACAGACGCAGAAGAAACCTGGGCTTCGGGCTCAAATCCAGGTGGAACCCGCCCTAGTTGTACCTGCGACCCTGTCCACGCTTGTCCCTGCTGCTGCCCCTGCTGCATCTGGTGTCCCTGCCCGTGCCCTTGCCCCTGACCCTGTGCAACTGAATGTGGTGACCCTGCTCGAGTAGGGGGCGGAGCTGATGCCACGTGCGAGTGTGCCTGCGCAGGTGGCACCTGTCCCAAATGTGCCTGACCGTTTGCCACCTGGGCACGTGCCTGTCCAGGTGCCACATGAGAATGCACCACCGCCTGACCAGGCGCCATCTGACCAGGCGCCATCTGTCCAGGCGCCATCTGACCAGGCGCCATCTGACCAGGCGCCATCTGACCAGGCGCCATCTGACCAGGCGCCATCTGTCCAGGCGCCATCTGTCCAGGCGCCGTGTGCGCAGGTCGCATCTGCTGCTGCGGCAGCAGCCCAGGGAGCACCGCAGGGAAGCGCGGGGCGTTTTGAGTCAAATCAGAACTAGTCTGTGCAGGTGCTGTGTGCGCAGCAGGTCTCATCTGCAGCTGCGCCAGCAGCCCCGGGAGCACCGCAGGGAAGCGCGGGGCGCGGCGGGGAATGCCAGCTGGCAGCGGCGCGTAGTACGCCCGGGCAGAGGAGAAACCGGTGGGGGGAGGTGCAGAGTGGTGGGCGAAGGCGGGAGGGGGTGGAGGAGGAGAGGTAGAGGTGGTGGTGGAGGTGGTGGTGGAAGGGGTGGCGATGGGAAGGAGGCCGAACTGGTACTGCCCTCGCGCTGATGTGATGAGCCCCACCTGATTGGATGGGAATGGGGGAGGAGGAACAAACGGGAGAGGGAAAGAGGAGAGAAGGAAGAAGGGAGGTTGGAGGGGCGTTAAGGCAGTGGCAGTGGTGATGGAAGGAGGCCGAACCGGTACTTCCCTCGCGCTGATGTGATGTGTCCCACCTGGTGGGCGGAGGAGAAGGAGGAGCAAGCGGGAGAGGGAAAGGCGGAAGAATTAAAGGATGCACTCGCAAGGGACTCATGCACCCACAATCACATTCACCCATCCACGTAACCTTCCATGCGCCCTCAGCACGTCCTCGGAGGACCAGGAAGCACCTTGATCGTCCCTCCCGCCCCCTCCCCCCTCTTCCCTCCCCACCCCCTTCCCTCCGCCCTGTCCCCCACATACACCCACCCTTCCATGCGCTCTCAGCACGTGCACGAGCTGCTCCCAGTTGTTGACGTCCACGGACGAGGAGCTCCTCTCGGGGTACACTCGAGTGACTCAAACCCCTCCTTCTCCCCCCTTGACTGACCCCACATATGTGTATCCATGTGCGTGCACACAAACACGCTTTCACACACACACATTCATCTACTTACCCTTCCATGTGTCCTGAGCACGTGAAGAAGCTGCTCCCAGATGTTGACGTGCACACAGGAGAGGACCAGGACAGAAGCCCATGAAAATGATTCTTCCCCCTGCCCGCTCAACGCACACACTCACTTACCCTTCCATGCGTCCTGAGCACGTGCACGAGCTGCTCCCAGTTGTTGACATCCACAGACGAGGAGCTGCGCTCGGCGTACACTCGGAAGTGCGGCAGAGAGGGCAGCGATGGCAGCTCCACCCGTGGGGTCAGCTTCGGCAGCAGCACCCACGTCTCGTCGCTGTGAGAAGAAGGGATACAGGAAAAAGACGAGACGGGATACAGGCAGGCACATGGTAGCACGTATGTAAGATGCACCGCGTGGAGGGGACATGGCAGGGAGGGCAGCGACGGCAGGGACGGCAGCTTCGGCAGCAGCACCCACGTCTCGTCACTGTGAGACAGGGAGGGAGGGGATACAGACATGTTTCACTTATACAGCAGCCATGTGCCAGTTGCAAGACCAGGAATTGGCATGGCAAGCTATCAAAACGCACGGCAACGTGACATCACCCAGCCTTTGAAGTGCTTACGTGTCAGCCAGGCAGGCACTGACCTGATGTCAAGAGGCCACGTGTCAGCCGCCAGGTTGCAGATAATCTTGCCGTCAAAGTTGTAGAGCGGCACTGTGCTCACCACCTCGGGCTCTCCGGGGTCCATGTCTGCTCGTGAGTAGATTGGGTGGATGGGACAAAGAGGGGAGAGGGAAGAGGCAGGGGTGTGAGGAAAGGAGGGCTGGGATCAACACCCAGGAGTTGTAAGGGGGTACACACACACGCAACGCAAAGCATCCATCTTGCCGTCAAAGTTGTAGAGCGGCACTGTGCTCACCACCTCGGGCTCTCCGGGGTCCATGTCTGCTCGTGAGTAGATTGGGTGGATGGGACAAAGAGGGGAGAGGGAAGAGGCAGGGGTGTGAGGAAAGGAGGGCTGGGATCAACACCCAGGAGTTGTAAGGGGGTACACACACACGCAACGCAAAGCATCCATCTTGCCGTCAAAGTTGTAGAGCGGCACTGTGCTCACCACCTCGGGCTCTCCGGGGTCCATGTCTGCTCGTGAGTAGATTGGGTGGATGGGACAAAGAGGGGAGAGGGAAGAGGCAGGGGTGTGAGGAAAGGAGGGCTGGGATCAACACCCAGGAGTTGTAAGGGGGTACACACACACGCAACGCAAAGCATCCATCTTGCCGTCAAAGTTGTAGAGCGGCACTGTGCTCACCACCTCGGGCTCTCCGGGGTCCATGTCTGCTCGTGAGTAGATTGGGTGGATGGGACAAAGAGGGGAGAGGGAAGAGGCAGGGGTGTGAGGAAAGGAGGGCTGGGATCAACACCCAGGAGTTGTAAGGGGGTACACACACACGCAACGCAAAGCATCCATCTTGCCGTCAAAGTTGTAGAGCGGCACTGTGCTCACCACCTCGGGCTCTCCGGGGTCCATGTCTGCTCGTGAGTAGATTGGGTGGATGGGACAAAGAGGGGAGAGGGAAGAGGCAGGGGTGTGAGGAAAGGAGGGCTGGGATCAACACCCAGGAGTTGTAAGGGGGTACACACACACGCAACGCAAAGCATCCATCTTGCCGTCAAAGTTGTAGAGCGGCACTGTGCTCACCACCTCGGGCTCTCCGGGGTCCATGTCTGCTCGTATGTTGATTGGGCGAGAGGGGGGGAGGGAGGAAGGGTTCTGCTCAGCTCATGCGCGAATGCAACGCAGCCTGCAGGTAATGTTCATGTGCATGTGCATGTGTATGTGTATGTGTACACACACACAGATACGCAATCGACTTTTGAGGCGCCTCAAAAGGTAATGTTCATGTGCATGTGCGTGCACACAGATACGCAATCGACTTTTGAGGCGCCTCAAAAGGTAATGTTCATGTGCATGTGCGTGCACAAAGATACGCAATCGTGCTGTCAAACCCCCACGCTCTGCTGCACTGCTCGCTCCATTCTCAAGCGCTGGAATCACCACGTTCCACATGAGTCTCCCTGCCCCTGACAGATCGCCAAGCCACTTTTGAGAATTCTTAAAAGTGATTTCAATATATCCTGACAGATCGTCGAGCCACTGCTTCAGACAGCTGAGCTGACCGTTCACTCTAGCTAACCTCTGCTTCCTCTGCTTAAGATCCATGGCGTACCCTATGCTTTAGAGTCGACTCTAAAAGCTCCCTGCCCCTGACACATCGCGAAACCTCTGCTTCAGACAGCTGGCCTTTAACTCTACTAGCTGACCTGTGCTCCTCTGCTTAGGATCCATGGCGTGACCTATACTTCCCGCGCTCGGGCTCTACCTAAGCGCGGCGATTGGAGGCCAACGGTCAACAGCGCGACTGCAAGCATTGCGTCTATGCTCGCGTAATCGATGGTTGACGGCCGTCAGACGACAGCGGACGGCCGTCAGCGGACAATGGACCAGTGAGTGGTAAAAAGTGCCTCTGTGTGGCTGGTTGACTGCTGTTCCCGCGAGATGCGGCGCAGACAGAGACTAGACCGCGAACAGAGACGCGACGCTCTTTATTGGCAAAAGGGACGATGCTAGGCCACGCCGCCACGGTGGGTCGGTGACGATGGGTCTACGAATCGCACTGGCAGGATAGTGTCGCACGGCTGGGTCGCAGGGATGGGTCGCACGATGGTTCGCGCGGGTGTTCGCACGGGTGGATCAGTGACGATGCGTCCGGGTCTCTTTTGACGGAATTGCGTCCCTGAAGGCAGAGAGCACAAGAGACGCGGAGATCGAGCCAGACGAGCGTGCGACGAGAGATTCTGTCGCATGCGCGTGCGACGTGGATAGGCGACTCGTCGATTGAACTTGAGGAAAATTTGACGACGACTCTGATTCGCCCACTGAATGCTGCGCTTCCGTCCTAATCTTCACGTCGGCAGCGTGCGTCTTCCACGTCAGCAGCGTACGGCTTCCACGTCAGCAGCGTACGACTTTCGCGTCAGCAGCGTGTAACGGCCGGCCAGACGGCAGAGACACCGTGGAGTGGAGCCTGGCCAGCAATTAAGGCAAAGGACGACGACGCGCCAGTGCAGCGTAATTTGAGGCGACTTTTGAGGCGCCACGAACGGCGACGCGCCAGTGCAGCGTAATCCCAGTTTTCGCGCATATCTAAAACGCGTCGTCGATTACACGGGATCTGACGGATCGGAGGCCTGCATTATAATTCTCTAGCGATTTGAGAAAGCACGGTCCTATCGGGCGACCGCTACGGAGAAAGACGGGCCTGAGCGACAGAGGACAGCGAGCGACGGACGGCGGAGGGGATCCGTGCGACGCGACGCACCGTAGATGTCGCCTGCGACGTTGGTAGGATCCATTCAGGCGCTGCGACCTCCTTGAGCGAGCCGCGTCGCGCAAGCTGATCTGTCGAAATGCTGCTGCTGCTGCTGCTGCTGCTGCTGGCGGAATGCTTCGACTTGTACGATGCAGATGCCGATAATACTTGACGGAGTTGGGAGAAGTTAACGGAGCCGCGGCACGCAGCCCTGCAAGGTAGGCGGAAACACGCAGAGGCATGACTAGTCGTTAGTTCTGCTACGCTAATTACCTCACTCACACTAGGGTTCGCCCTTGGAAAATCATGTTTCCATTCCACCCGGTGGTAGAAAGACGACCCCACGACACCCCCACCCAGCCTTTGGATTTGGTCTCAGGACACCCAGCAGCACCAGGGGTAGAATGAGGAGCTGGAACCATCACTTCCCCACCATGAGTTGGGTGGGACATACCCAACTGGTCTTGGACCTTCCCTCCCAAGTTGTCAATACCCTCTTAGTCACCATTCTAGCTTAGACACATATTGGGTGTTTGATGTTCAAAACCGTCTCTCGTCCTCCATTGGACACAGCACGTTAGCAGACATGTCGCTCCATCTGCTCGATCAGACCCGCTTGTCTATGAGTGCATCTTCCTACATGGTCCTGTTCTAACCGAGGTCTTCAAACCGATAACACACGACCAACTCATCTCAGCTAGGTTGAGCTCCGCGGATGAACTATCGCTATGCTCAATGCCTACATCGCGTTGCTCATACGGGCACTAACTTCCTCATCTAGTGCTGATAACCTACCCCTCTATGAATGTAGATAGGAATGCTAGAGGAAGTGGGAAAGAGGATACGAGGAGTAACTACAATGTGTAAGTCCTAGTGCTAAGGATGGCTAGGGTGGAGGACGTGACCCTTTATATAGTAGAAGGACATGAGTGTTGGAAAGTGCATTGTGGGTCACCAATGGAAAGTTACAATTTGTGAAGTGCCATGTGGCGCAAGTTGTTTGGCCAATCTCCAACCCTTTTTCCAACATCCAACTTGGTTGCAAATTGTACACCCCAAATGTAACAAAACGGATCAACCTCCAACTATATTTTGAAAAAGACATAGTAATAATAACACACCTCTCCAAGTGCATGCTTGAAACAATAAGGCAGGCTCTCATGAAACTAAAACTGGAAAATATGAGAAAACTTTACTTCGTGTTGATTCCATTCTCGATTTTCAGAAATTTGAATAATTAGTAATTATACATTTGCATTGTAAATGTGTGATTTCTTGTCCTTATTAACTGGCATCATTCCTATTCCAGTTGGCAAAATATGACAAGTAGTTAAGCTAGAGAACACAGATGCTAGTACATGCTATTACCATATTCCAACGGATGTAAGCCTCCCGTTCTTTTTTCGCCTCGGGACGAAACACAAGCAAAATGGGGGATATGGTAATGATTTTCCAAATACAAACCCATAACCAATCCGTGAAGATATTTTTTACTGAAATTCATGGCAGAAGTGAGATTTTTTTTTTTTCCACGATAGGGCAATTTTTTTTTTCCAACAAGCCACAGTACGATAAGAAAGAATTCTGAACCCCCCCCTCTTCCCCCCCCCCCCCCCCCCCCCCCCCTTCTCCCCCCCCCATCCTTCCTATCCCTATCACCCCCCACCTCCCCAAAAAACCTACAGTCCATGAGGGCCTTTATTCGGGGGGATACGGTATATTTGCTAAACTTATCATGTTCAAGCAGCAACAAAATTATGGTGTAGGGACGAAGAGTGAGAGTTGCATGAGCCATTCGAAAATGGAAAACGAGTTGGCTTTCTTTGGGGTTGTTGCTCCTCATCTCTATGTCACGCAGCTAACCCCTAAGAGTGATTGAGTCGTTCTTGACATCCTAACTCCTCGCACCTACGCTGAGGCAGTCATGAGACCTTGGGTCTCTCAATGGGACGCACTTCGTCATCCTAGGATGAAAGTAGTTAATGACAGGGCATGTGCCAGGATTTTAGGCATCTTGAGCCTTTAGGGCAGATTATGTAAAAGCCTAAAAATACCCTGATTTTTAAGGGCAAAAACTCATGGGCATCCTGATTTTTAAAGACACCAGCTGGAAGTTATCCTGTCACGTCAAGGCAATTTCTTTTTATAGTTTTAATTGTCATAGAGGAGAATGCATGAGATGTGCAGGTCATCTCGTGCCTTGACCTGCCACCTCAGGACCGTGAGTGCGCGATGTCCAGAGATGGGGTTGGCCACCTTCCCCCCCAACTCGAAAATGACACACTGCTCTGACTTTCTCCGAGGCTGTCAGAGGTCCACTGGTGATCCTCGATTGATCACAGGGAAGGGTTACAAGCAACGTTGGCCTGGTGGGTTATGGGCGCACTCACCCGCTACACAAACAAACTCTTTTATCCTAGTAGTTGATGGCTGGGATTCTGATAGAGGCGACCTACGCGAACAGATCTAGCTCCGCCGCCCACCTGGCTTCACTGAGAACTCTCATCTTAGGACCCAGTCCAACACTCGGCAACTTGTCTACGGTCTGTGGCAGGCTTCTCGTGAGTGGTACGAACTACTTATCAGAATCTCAGCCATTAGACCATTGGGATAAAATTGCTTATTAAGTAGCGGGTCTGTTCGTCAGGCGAATGCATCTGTAACCCTCCAGGAGAATGCGTCTGTAACCCTTCACTAGGATCAATTGGGAATATTGATCGATTAGGACAGATCTATGGATCTTCTGACACACCTCCCGCACATGGAGGCCTAAGACTCAGCACAGCGTAAACGATAGCATGTGCATGCACCGGGATTCGATCCCGAGACGATTCGCTCTGATATTATGGTAGAATCTCAGCCACTAGACCACTGGGATAGGAGGGCTTGTTAAGTAGCGGGTCTGTGCGCCCATAACCCTCCAAACGAACGTGCCTGTAGCCTTTTCAGCGATCCACAGTGTAGGTCTTCTGACACTACTTTGGTTGGCCTTCACTTCTTCTCGTCCTCTGCTGACCCATCTCTCTTCATTCGCTCTGGTTCTACTCCGTTATACATAATGGTCTGCATTGATGACATTTGAGATAGAGTTGCATTGGTCTCAGTGAAAGCTGAGCTGCTGAAGCTACACGCCTGCACTGACCTAGGCGAACTGCGCTGCTATTTTGGAAATCAGACTAGTAGGGACGGAGCAACGCGCATCATGACTCTTACTCAGTCACACATGGTGTAGCAGATCCTCTACCGCTTCGGCCTTGAAAGTTCTCCTTTGCACAGCCCACTCCTCTTACTCCTGGCTGTTACTCCTCTGCCTCTTGGCCATACGTTCTCGACCCCTGTCCCTTGTCAAAGTATAAAATGTGTTATATGTTTGTAGGCTGTACTGGGGTAGCCAATATGGGGTACAACCCCAACTAGGGTTTCCTATTTGTACCCTTGCTTCTTTCAATCCACTCATTCTTGCCTCATATTTTTCACATGGTTTCAGAGCAGTAGGTCCGTTAGGACCGATTTTTTTTTCCCGGGCCCACCGAACGCCTGCCTGACTGCAGTTACCGCGCTGCCCCACATGCGCCCTGCCTAGCCTGCCCGTCGCGCTGCCCCTAATCCCGCGCCCGGCCCCTTCCCTGCCCGTCGCGCTGCCCCTAAGCCCGCGCCCGGCCCCTACCTTACCGTCGCGCTGCCCCTAAGCCCGCGCCCGGCCCCTGCCTGCCCGTCGCGTCGCCCTAAGCCCGCGCCCGGCCCCCTGCCTGCTCGTCGCGTCGCCCTAAGCCCGCGCCCGCCCCCCCCCTGTCCACCGTCGCGCTGCCCCTAAGCCCGCGCCCGGCCCCTGCCTGCCCATTGCGCTGCCCCCTAAGCCCGCGCCCGGCCCCTGCCTGCCCGTCGCGCTGCCCCCTAAGCCCGCGCCCGGCCCCTGCCTGCCCGTCGCGTTGCCCCTAAGCCTGCGCCTGGCCCCCTGCCTACCGTCGCGCTGCCCCTAAGCCCGCGCTCGGCCCTCTGCCTGCCCCTGCATCCTGCTTTACGCCTGTCTGCCTTGCGCTGCTGCCATGGCGGCCATGATCACTGGGTCGACACCTGGACTCCTGGAGGACAGCGTGTGGCGATCTGTACCTGCTCCAAGACTGGCCGCCACCTGGCCACGTTCACCCGTGAGCCGGGGTCCAGTCTTTACACTCTCACCACTGTTTCACGCTGCACTCCTTTGTCTCCACAGCTGTACGCGTCTGCTCAGGCAGCCACCCAGTGTGAGTGCCGCTGCCTGTCCCACGACACTCTCCTGTGGCACCACCGCCTTGGTCACCCCTCCCTGCCTGGCCTGCGTGGCATGCACTCTCGCCGTCTGGTCTCTGGTCTTCCCAGGTCCCTGCCTGCACTCCCTCCCTCACCTGCGCCGCCCTGCATTCCTTGCGTCGAGGGGCGGCAGCGCGCCGCTCCTCACTCCTCCTCGTTCCCTCCCACAGAGGCTCCGCTGCAGACGCTCCACACGGACGTGTGGGGCCCAGCCCGCGTCCAGGGTCAGGGCCGCGAGCGCTACTTCGTGCTGGTCGTCGACGACTACTCGCGCTACACCACGGTCTTCCCCTTGCGCAACAAGGGGCAGGTCCCTGATGTTTTGATCCCCTGGATCCGCGCTGCTCATCTCCAGCTTCGCGAACGGTTCCAGACGGATTATCCTGTCCTGCGTCTGCACTCTGACAGAGGTGGTGAGTTCTCCTCTGACCTCTTGCGAGCCTTCTGTGCGGAGCACGACATCCGCCAGACGTTCACGCTTCCGACCTCTCCGCAGCATAATGGGGTTGCTGAGCGCCGCATCGGCTTAGTCATGGAGGTCGCTCGTACCTCCATGATCCATGCGGCTGCCCCCCATTTTCTGTGGCCGTTTGCGGTCCGCTACGCCGCGCATCAGCTCAACCTCTGGCCCCGTGTCTCCTTGCCGGAGACCTCGCCCACACTGTTGTGGACGGGGGAGGTTGGCGATGCGTCGCGTTTTCGGGTCTGGGGTGCTCGTGCCTTTGTCCGCGATACCACCGCGGACAAACTCTCCGCCCGCGCCATTCCCTTGGTCTTCCTTGGTTTTCCTTTTGACGCGCCTGGCTGGCAGTTCTACGACCCCGCCTCGCGCCGTGACTTTGCGTCTCAGGATGTCACCTTTGACGAGTCCGTTCCCTTCTACCGTCTCTTTCCCTACCGTACCTCCCCTCGCGCCCCCCCGCCGCTCTTCCTCACCCCAGGTTCTCCCCAGGTAGACCCCCTTCCCGCGCCAGGTCCTGCCCCTTCAGGTGTTTCTAAGGTAGACCCTCCCGTCCCTGCGCCTGTTGAGGTCACTGGTGATGTCGAAATAGTAGGTATAGTAAGAGGCCATAGCTAGGGATGACCTAGCTAGGCAAGAGAGAATGAAGCAAAGGAAGAGGTTTGCACTAGCAAGGATGGGATACAAATAGCAAACCCTAGAAGGGTTGTACTCGCTATAGAGCACCCCACTGCAGGCTAGAGCATAATATTCTGACACACCCCCATAGCCAAAGTGGGGTGTAATCAGCAGAACAAGCAAGCAGTACAAGCTCAGGGTGGATCACAATGTCACCACACATTCTGAGCACAAGTTCAAAAGGCAATAGTTTAAAGTTCACAATAATGGGTAAAGCTAAAGCTGTCACAGAGGGCAAGCGAGGAGGAGGAGGGCTGGCGAGAG